ATTGTTTTTCAATCACTTTGTGCGCTGTTCTTTGCTCTCTGCACTGCATGTACGACCGCACGTATAAACGTAGCAACAGTTAACTCTAGTAGCAACCTGTGGACCCAAACGGCTCTACTGAGCTGACCTTGACGTGCTTGATATACATTTGATTTTGTTAGAAAATAGCGTTTGACAGTTATTTATTTCATTATGTCAAAAGGTTTTGTGGTCCAGATGGACGCAACTCGCGGTCCGGATTCGGACCGGAGTCCGCCAGTTGGCGACCCCTGAACTATGGCAACAAACGTGGACAAAAATGCTGCTTTACAGTTAAACTAAATATATTATGGCTGTCGTAAATAAAATGAAAATGAAATTAAAAGTGTTGACTACAGCATTACATTTAGATCTGCTCAATGTTGCATCATGATTCTTTTTACGGGTTTTTACAGTGTTGCGCGTTATAACCAATCACACACGAGTCTGTTATAATTATGAATGCAATGGGCAATCAGAAGCGTTCAGATGAGTCATCGCTGAAACACTGAATTCTGCTCTCTCGCAAATTCTCTCATCATAAATAACAAAGTGTAGATGTATGTATAGTGTAAGTAGGAGATTCATTCATTAAAGAGCTTTACTGATTATAAGTGGAGTTCTTCGAGAGTGCTTAAACTCGCGCTAGACTGAAGTCAGTTACTGTTCCTTGACAATGTAAATGTTCTTTGCTCACGTTCTCTGTATAATTTATTCACTGTTTGAATAACTTTGGAAGGTACAGGTAAAAAAAATAAAAATATTAATACATCCGTGAACATGATTCAGACATCTCTGGATGGTGTAAACGACATCTCCCATTGTTCCACTCTCCTTCATAGCGTCATCAAGCTTTGCCTTTGTTATCGTTTTGAAAATGCGACCTCTAGCAGCGAAAACTTACATATTGTGCCTTTAAGTAGAGAATTACGCATGTCATGCCAATGCCACTTTTCACGTTTCACATGGTTTCTTTAAATTAAAAATATTTTTTTAGAGAGAGCTAGGTCACAAATGTTTTTATAACTGTTACTGTGACCACGTTTACACGTGCACAGGTGCATCTCAATAAATTAGAATGTCATGGTAAAGTTCATTTATTTCAGTAATTCAACTCAAATTGTGAAACTCGTGCATTAAATAAATTCAATGCACACAGACTGAAGTAGTTTAAGTCTTTGGTTCTTTTAATTGTGATGATTTTGGCTCACATTTAACAAAAACCCACCAATTCACAGGTCATCGCTAAATACAGTGCAAACAGGGTCAACATTTTGTGATCAGATCACTGACACCACATGAGAAGCATGTAGAAATGCATGCAGAGATGCATGTTACCACTTTGCATGTATAATGTAAGAGCTTATGTGTCCCGGACCACAGTGAAGAAACATCTACTGATTTGTTGTGAAAGAGCACCAAAACAAGCATTTCAAACTTTGTTGTGTTGTACAAAAATAAATAAATAAAATAACATGGATTATGCTGGAAATTGCAGCTGCCATCCATTTAATTTGCTTTATTTCCTGCTCAATCATAATCTGCATATTGGGTTAGTTCATAGTATTTGTGAAAAATCATCACTCCTCGAAAGTGATGTAGGGTTTGATGAAAAAAAATAGGGTAGGGTCATGACAAAACAAAATCCAGTGATATGAGATGTATTTAAAATGAATATTAATACCAGGTGGAAATGGTAATGTGGTTTGGCTGACCACCTGTGACTGGATCACTGAAAACACATCTTTATGTCAGGTGGAAAAGATAAGAGAGACATCAAAAATGTGCAGTCTTGGGGGTTCTCCAGGACAAGGATTGGAAACTACTGATCTAGCCCATTTAGGCCCCTCTGGGCCCAAGTCCTGCCATGGAGTCTATCCCTGAGGTTCCTCCCCAGCCAATCTTACTGTGAGAGCCACAGTTTCCAAACAGTGAGCGCCAGCCTCAGACTACAATCCTTCTCCATCATAGCACTTCCTCTGCCTTTAATGCCCAGAGAGTCAATAACCAAGTCACAATGAATTGCCCCAAACAAGAACTATATCATTCAAAAGGTATCTTCCTCTCCAAGTGGGTTGTTGAGAATAAGCAGCAATGGGCCATACCTTATGAAAGATGCCAAAAATCTAACTCTGGGAAACTACAAGTGGAACTTTCTTTCATATGTCAAACGCAGGTCTCTATGTAATGTCCACATTCAAAATTCCAAATGATAAATATGACATATAGACAGGCTTTATTTGAATAACATTTTGCAACAGTAGGATACCAGTTTTAAAATGTATGTATCCCATTGATTTACATGACAAAAGTACACATAACAAGTGCCATCTGAGAAAAAAAAAAAAAAAAAAAGATAATGCTAGATCTTCACTTTCTTAAGTTTCTAAAGTCATCTGTGCAATGGCATTAACCCAGTGGTCTGGTCACAATGTATTTTACAAATCAGTTAACTTTAACTCTTCAATCTAAATAAACATTTCTGAAAAGTTTGCTTGGATTTTTAAATGTATTTATTTATTTGTTTATTTATTTATTTTACATGTGGTTGAAGTGTCCAAATACTTTTGAATGTACCATATTATTAAGGACAAAGTTTTCTAAATACCCTAATTGTAATTTGCTATGTAATTACATGTAATTAATCTATGTAATTTATAAAAATATATAAATTATTAACAAATATCATAAATATAGAATCTTAAAGAATGTAGAATGTTCTTTAATATTAATCTTAAATAATATAGAATATTACAGATATAATTTGGTTTCCACAGTTATGTATTTCCTAAAATTGTACAGTTTTTTCACATTCATTAAGTCTCAAACATTTTATCGATGCAATTAGACAAACATTTTATTTTGTAACTTTTCCCATTAAATGTTGCTTTGTATTCTTCTCGGGCTTTAATAAAATAATGTAACATTTGGGGGTGAACAAGCAGAAGAGCAGGCCAAAACTAGAAGCTAAAATAGCAAAAATCTCCACAGCAGTAGTAAATTTACCAGGTGAACTGACATATGCCGGTACAAATGCCAGCCACACTGCACAGAATATAAGCATGCTGAAGGTGATGTATTTGGCCTCATTAAAATTGCCTGGCAACTTTCGGGCCAGAAAAGCCAGAAAAAAGCAGACACAGGCCAAAAGGCCTATATATCCCAACACACACCAGAAGGCCAGATCAGAGCCCACACTGCAGTCAAGGATGATCTTGGACTGTTGATATTTAGTGTTTCTATAGGGGAAAGGAGGGGATATTGTAAGCCAAGCAGTACATATGACCACCTGGACCAGAGTGCAGCAGAAGATGATTATTCTCTGCTGTGTGGGGCCCAACCATTTCATTATATTGCTACCAGGTCGGGTAGCTGTAAAAGCTGCCAGCACCACTAAAGTCTTGCCCAGGATGCAGGAGATGCAGAGAGAGAAAGTGATGCTGAAGGCAGTGTGCCTCAGCATGCAGGACCAGGATGTAGGTTCCCCAATAAACACCAAAGCACAGAGAAAACACAGAGTCAGTGATAACAAGATGAAAAAACTGAGTTCTGAGTTATTCACACGGACTATAGGGGTTCCTCTGTTATATAAAAATATCACCAGAACTGTGACAGTCAGAAAGGCTCCCACTACAGCTATCACAGTCAGGGTGATTCCCATTGCATCATGGGAGAGAAACTCAACTGCCTTCGGGACACATATTGTTCCATTAACATTGGACCAATAATCTTCAGGGCATGACAGACAATCTATTGAATCTATAAAGAATGGAAAAGACAAATTTAATAAGAGCATGAAGAAATGATGGGAGTCTATATTTTCTTGTCAATAGGAAAACATACAGTAGGGTGCTTTCACCTGTCTGATTACTGATCTTGCCAATATCACATGGAACACAATCAAAGCAGCACAGAGGTTGCCCACGACGGACAGCCTTCCTGAATCCTGGAGTGCAGCTGTTACTGCATACAGACATAGGAACCTAAAAAAAAAAAAAAATATATATATATATATATATATATATATATATGTTTTTTTTTCTTACTTAGTTGTTGAGTCCAAACAACAGAATAACCTTTTTTAATCATTCACAATGTTATTGTGCTAATATTGGCTCAAAGATCACATAGTGACAGTGTTATTAATATAACAATAGATGGCAGTGCAGAGTCAACACCTTGCCTTCTTCTGTTGGTTAGACCACATGATGGCCTGCTCCTCAATCACCAGTTCGCTCCCAGTTTGCTGAGCACCATCATAGAGGCCCACTTTAACAAACTGAATATCTCCACTTGCGTGTCTTTGCCAGTTTATCAAATCATATGATGGGATTGAATCTCCCTTAACATCAAAATTGACTTCTTCTCCAGAAACAGAGAAAGAAATTTCCTGTAAATAATGCTGAAGCTTTGGAGTAGAAAAAAGCAACAAGAAAAAAAAATGGAGGGAGAGGGCGGACAATTATTATTAAAAACTAATTTTAAGAAGAAAAATATATTGTATTTATGCACAATATAATCACTATTCTGTGTGAAAATCAGTTCTCCTTAAACCATTAGGTACTTTTACCTGCCATGGAAACACATTGTTGAGGTTTGCACATGAGACATTCTCAAACGGTCCATTTCCAGGTTTACAGTGAATGAGATTATGTAGAGAATGAGCAAAGGCATACACTACTTTATATACATGGTAGGCCACACGAGGGCTGGATGTGTTCATGTAGGCAGAGTGTTCTTTTCTGAGAAGTTCCTTTCCTGTGCAGGAGGGCAAATGACTGTTCAAGCTGGATGTGGAGGGGGAACAACCATAGAGTGCTTCCCACAACTCCTGAACTTGAGGGTTAGAAGGGTACCTATCTGGGGTCACTGTTTTGAGGTAATCCTGAAAACCTGGGATGTGTCCTTGACGTATTGCAAACCCAATTGTGCCATCTAAAAAAGGATATGTTTCTGCTAATATTGAGGCTGTAACCCAAGCCTCACTTGCAATCCATTGAATTCCTGTGATATTTTGAGTCACAAACTCTCTTAAGAAAGGGTAAAATTCCCCCTCCCCTGAAAAAACAACCACCACCTTAGCTGTTGATTCCTTCATTACTTTAAGAATCCTCATGACCTGTTCCTGGGTATAGTCTTTAGGAATCATTTCATGATAGGCCAGACAAATATTAGTATTCTCAATTTCCCGTTTTAAACCTTGTAAAGCAAACCTTCCATAGTCATGGTCTTCAGTCACCACACCAATCCATGTCCAGCCAAACCTCTTTAAGAGTTGTGCAATAGCTTTGACCTGGTAATCATCACTGGGAACCACTCGGAAAAATGTTGGGAACTGCTTTCGATCACTTAAACAAGAGCAGGTTGAGAAATAACTTATCTATAAATTAAATAATAATAATAAAAAAAGAAACAGAAAAGCAACAAATGTTAGCCAATTTCACATACATATATAAACTGAAATTGTATAGACATCAGTACAAAAATCCTTCAAGTGTAGTTAACATACTTTCATAATGAGACATTTCACAATTAAGTGAATAATTGTCAAGTTAAGTTAGTAAATATACTAACTAATTATTTAAATAATAAATATTTTTATTTTTTACCATGGGTATTCTGAAAGGCTCCAGAGTTCTGGAGACAACGATGGATTGTGAGGATCCAGATTCCCCTATTAATCCTAATAAAGGGCTAGCTCCAGAACATATAAAACTTTGTACAACATCCTGTCCATTCAGCACTGCTAGGACTGCTTTCTGAGCAGTCACAGGTGTAGCACAGGAGTCAAAGATACTATAAGCCAGATTATGGTTTGGTAAGAGATCTTTTCTGTTGTTTATTTCCTCCACAGCAAGTGTCATAGTGAGAGCCCAGCGGAAAGCCCTTGGATCAAACCTGCATACAATTATGTTATGAAAATACATTCTTGTAAAACAATGGATGGGTTTCTTATAATTATTCTTCAGAAAATGAATAAAAAGTGAACAATAGATTTAAAATTACAGTTTGGGAAAGACGTAAAGAACATATTAGACATGTTCTTACCCTCGACACTGTGCTGCCAAAGGTCTCTTTATGTAGTCTGTTGGAGGAAGCTCTACTCTATAATGCAAAGGAAAAATTCCTCCTATTGTGAAGTCTCCACTAGTCATGAATACTGGCAAATTAAAGTCACCCTGTGGGTTGCAGCTTGAAGTTACAGCTGCACTGGAAAGATGAAATACAGAAACAAAAATATGAATCATTATCCTGTTAACCTCCACAAGAAAAAAGGCGAGGAGATGCTTCTCTTACCTTTGGTTTTATATGTTAATCATGCATATCATTATGCATGATGTCGTCCTGAGTTGTATATCGAATCAGGTGCGCTTTTATGTTTCCCGAGATGCCTCAAACTGAAACAATTATTAGTGTCTGTGTTAGACATTATTGCACATTACAATATCAATAATGCTTTACTTAGTAAATTTTGATGAACATATGGTGATTAATTAAGCAAATTAACCATAATCAGTTGCATTGAAAAAAGACCCCACATTAAGGAAAAAAGAAAGAAAGTAAGAGACACTGATTTCCAGGAAATGTATGAACTGATCAAAATCATCTTCCAAATGCTTATTTAAATTTAATATAATATAAATTCACTTTCCCAATAGACTTCCCAAGTAATCTTTTGTTCTTCTTTTTTTTTCAGTCCATCTGAGGTAGGCTTAGGGGGATGTTTGCATCATCATTATTTCATAATTGATGGTCTATAATTACAGCATGTAAATGTACAATTGTTAAAGGAGTAGACAACACTGTCAATTCTACAAGTCTAACCCCCATAAAATGTTTTACGTACAGTTTTTACAGTCTACAATAAAATGTGCACCAGAATAGCTATGGTGAAATTACATTACATTACATTTACATTTAGTCATTTAGCAGACGCTTTTATCCAAAGCGACTTACAAATGAGGACAATAAAAGCAGTCAAAACTAACAAAAGAGCAACAATAAAAAAGTGCAAATGACAAGTCTCGGTTGGCCTAACGCAGTGTAGCAAGGTATATATATATACAGTATATATATATATATATATACTGTATATACACTGAACAAAATTATAAACGCAAAGGCCTTTTGTGTACATAGAAAAAGTCTTAGATCTTTGAGTTCAGCTCATGACAAATGGGGGCAAAAACAAAAGTGTTATAATTTTGTTCAGTGTATATATATATTATATTTTACACAAACATATACACACACACATACACACATTGTGATTGGAGAAATGACAAACAACAAGCGCTACTCTACACTGCTCAAAACTCGCGTTTGAATTATCAGTGGCAAATCCTTTAAATATGAAAACGTACTTACAGTCTGTGAGTCAGAACAGCCGGCATTGTATTCTACTCTCCCAGGATCAGGAAACAGTCCTCCATAAAATGCGCTGCACACAACTGAATATTTGGGTTGAACTGTTCTGGAACAGTGTTGTGAATACAACTTAACTACTCATTTCGGTAACACTTTCTATGAAGCCCATATTTATAATACATTATAAAGGTATTTGTACATTTTTTAGAATGGCGGACCGCCAAGAGAAGCAGACAGGTGGAGAGTCTATCGCTTCTCTCAGAACAAAGCTTGAGATTTACACCGCTAATGATGGCAAGATTGTTGTGGAAGATGAGTTTTTGAACTTTTTAGTCGTCAAAATGAAGACGATTGCACAGGACGAACTTGTGTTGTTAGTCACAAGCCACTTTTCGTCTGAGCGGATTGCGAGTTCAAGGAAAGCGTTATTTGAACTCTGTCCGGGTTCCTCTCAGCGCTTTGTTCAGCACAGGGGAGAACAAAAAGACATTAATAATGTTAAAAGCTGCCTTGCTCTGTTAAACGAGCTTGGGGACAAAATCCCTCGCTTTGTGTCACACTATCTTGACGAGCTGCCGCCTGTGACTTTTAACAGCATTGATGTGTCATGTCTACTTGCTAAAATGAAGAGGCTGAGTGCTGACATAGTCGCTATGAAGCAAGGAATGAATGTGCAAGTTAAAGTTTCTGCCGATCTTTTTTCCGTGTCAGAGGATTTGAATCGGCGTCTGTGCGCGGCTGAACAACATGGCCGCGGTTTTGTGCAGGCCCCAAAGCAAACTGAAATGAAAATGAATACATCTAGCGCACTTGTATGGCGGGAGCCCAACGAGAGCGGATCGACCAGTGATGACCTTCCCGTGGAGAGCATGGTGGATGAGAGTGATATCGTAGCGGCTACAAGAACTACCTGGAGTACCGTGGCTAAGAGAGGCAGTCGCCGGTTACAAACAGCAGTTGTGGCGCACGAGGGATCCAAGCCCCGGGGGGTCAGATCTACACAGCGGGTCCAGAGAGCTGGCATCGTTGGTACTGGTCCGGGTAGTAACATTTATACTGTGAGGACTAAATTGGTGAGTGTTTTTGGTACAAAGTTTACGCCGGAGCTAGATGTGGATACACTAACAAGCTATTTGCATGGTAAACTTGGCCGTAAGGTCACGTGCATGAAGATAGATATTGTGCAAAGTCGATATAGTTCATTTAAAGTTACGGCGGAGTGTGACGACGTGAGGGAAATGTACGACCCGGACTTGTGGCCAGAAGGTGCGTTTGTGCAGCGCTTCTATGAAGTGCGTAAATCAAAGGGTGCTACTGAAGATGTCAAGACGAATGCGCTTCGGGGGGTACTCCACCCAGTAGATTAAAATCGACATATAACGAGAGTCGTGTCATATAATACACGTGGTTTGCGTTTGGGTCAAACTGCGACGGATAAGGCTCGATGGCTCGTTGTTGACAAACTGTTCGAGAACACAGACATTTTATGTGTACAGGAAACTTTCCTTCCAAAACAAGATCTGGACAAACTTAACTCTGTCAATAGTGTCTTTCACGGGGTGGGAGAGTCCACAACAGACTTTAGTTTGGGGTTTGTGCATGGTAGAATATCTGGTGGAGTGGCCATTAAGTGGCATATGAAATATGATCCTGTAATCACAGTGATTAGATTTAATGTTGATTGGTGTATAGGAATAAAAGTAGCCAGCAGCGAGGGGTTCCCCCATACCTAGTACGGGTTCTGCATTTTTGGTATACACACCAAACAATGCAGGTTAGATGGGGCACGACAATATCGGAGCCTTTTTTAGTGACAAATGGGGTTAGACAGGGTGGAATATTGTCACCCATGCTCTTTAACCTTTATATGGACGATCTTACTCAGAGACTTAAAAACTGTAAGACTGGCTACATGGTGGAAGAAAGACTTTTGAAACATCTACTGTATGCAGATGACCTAGTTGTAATGTCACCTTACTCTGCTGGGCTGCAACAGTTGCTTAGAGTCTGCTCTGACTACGGTGAGCAATATGATTTAAAGTTTAACATCAAAAAGAGTGTTGTTATAATAGTGAGGAGAAAGGAGGACCGTAAGGCCGTGTTCCCCTCGTTTTATTTGGCTGGACAGGAGTTATCTGTGGTGAATAAGGTCAAATATCTTGGTCACATCATTAGAAGTGACCTTTGTGACGATGATGACATTCAGAGACAGTATTGTAAATTGTATGCACAAGCTAACATGCTTGTTCGTAAATTTAGCATGTGTACTGATGATGTCAAAATAGCTTTGTTTAAAGCCTATTGCACTCCACTGTATACTGCCCACTTGTGGTGCAGTTACAGTAAAGCTAAATTTAACAAGTTGCAGGTTGCATATAATGATGCATTGCGACTTTTATTAAAAGTCCCTCGGTGTACAAGTGCCAGTCAGCTTTTTGTTCAGAATCAGGTGCCTATGTTATGTGCTGTTATCAGAAACTTTGTGTATAAATTTATAAAGCGACTTGAGGCCTCTAA